GTGTGTGTGGTGGTGTGTGTTGTGTGTGTGTGTGTGTTTGTGTGTGTGTGTGTGTGTGTGTGTGTGTGTGTTCTTGTGTTCTGTGTGTTGTTTCTGTGTGTGTGTGTGTTGTGTGTGTGTGTGTGTCTGTCTTTCTGTTGTGTCTGTGTGTGTTTGTGTGTGTGTGTGTGTGTGTTGTGTGTGTGTGGTGTCTTGTCTTTCTGTCTATGTGTGTGGTTGAGGTGTTGTGTGTGTGTGTGTTGTGTTTTCTGTCTTTCGTGTGGTGTGTGTGTGTGTGTGCGTTGTGTGTTGTCAGTGGTGTTGTGTAGTGTGTGAGTGTGGTGTGTTGTGGCGTGTGTGACTGTTCTTGTCTTCTCTGTCCTAGTTGTTTGTGTTGTTGGGGAGTATTGGTATGCCGGGGGTGGGTGTGTGTGTGCTGGTAGTGTGTTGTTTCTAGTGCTGTGATGTGTGTGTGTGTGTGTGTAGTTTCTGCGTCTGTTCGATGGTCGAAATGTGTGACAGGGTGTGTGTGTGGTGGTGTGCTGTGTCGTGTAGTTGTGGTGTATTCTGTCTTTCTGTCTAATCGTGTCGTGTGTGGTGTGTGGCAGTGTGTGTGTGTGGTGTGTGGTTCACTAGGTGGTGTTTGAGGTGTGTGTGTAGTGTGTGATCGAACGCCCAAGGGATACTTTACAGTCAATGCGTCCTCTATAAAGCGATACAGATTATGGGAATTGCTTGATTGCTCTCTATTATTGCTCGTCTATCTGAGGTTTTTATGGAGGTGTCGTCGTAGTTGCGAGTGACGTTTAGGCAGCCTGAAGTTGATCGCTTATAAACAATAGATGTTCAACGTGATTCGAAAGATTAGACAAGCGCTAGATATATAATGCATTTAGAAATAGTTTATTGGAGGTGACCAGTTCTTCTAAGAAGATAAGTAATCACCTGGAGTGGAATATTGCTAGAAAGCACTAAAGACCATAGAAAGCATATAACGATTATCATATGTATTGCATAGCGTCAATATAATGCTTATTTCAGTAATTTCTTGTCTGTAGTTGACAGTTGATAGTGACAGATTGAGACTTGTATATTCTTTCAAGTGGGATTTAATTTACTTACACAGTGAGTGATTTCTAAAAAGGCAGCCTGAGATATGAGAGGCATTCACCATGAGGAAATAACTACACTGAATGTCAATATAAATAAAGATCCCTGGCTTTTTAAGATTTATTTGTACAAAAGGTTTTATATTTTCTAACCGTGGTTGAAGTTTCAGTTTGTGGACAGAATGAACCCCATTCATCAGTGTTTCTCAAACTTTTTCATACCAAGCACCACTTTAACCAATAAAAAAACACTCGTCCGGACCACCTAACTCCACAAATATACAATAACGTAGGTCCTGTCAAACGATTACATTTCTATCAGTATTAATCACCAGCCTTCAAATACAATATATGTAACTTCATATAATATATAAATATATGTAGATTTATGAGATTTTCTCCTTATTAGTTTTTTAACGTCATGCTAGATGGTCTACTATAGAGAGAGTCGGTAATCTGCCATTAATGACTATACAGATACATATGTTTGTTCGTTTCAGTTTATAGTTTCAGCGTGAGAGATGAGATCTTAGATATAATCGCCATGAACGCGGTAGCGCGAGAGAGTCTCCATATTATGACCATCCCATCTGTACTAAGTTTGTATTTATACATCTATCTAAAATATAGTTCTACTCATTTGGTTCTACTATATATAGACTGAGTATATGACATCATGACGTTTCCTCTAACATTCAGATGAGCGACTTAATGGGTTCATCTATAAAATGAACATGAAGATATTTTTACATTGTCCTGTACACACTTTGTACGCATCGGTGTTCCTTGGCGTCAATTTGACCCCAGGCTGTTTTAGTAAACATAAAACATATACAAATGTCAATATTTTACACATATTTGTGTTGATTGTGTAGGATGATATTGAGGTGACTATTACATGCAAATGTATCATTGTAAAAAAAACTACCCTCTGCTTTAATTATTGGTCCTTTAACAACATCAAAATATCTTACTTTAACATTTTATTTCAGTCAGTGAGATTTTATGGTGATTTATATATTTTTCGATAGTCACATAATAGGAATTCTGGATGTATAAGGGGTTCTGTGGGGGGAGGTTGGGGTAATATTATATTTAAATGGTTATTTAGGCAGTCAACTAAGATACCTGAAGCACCAGAGACATACATTTTGGTTAAAATTTGGAATATGATCATTGTCTTGAGTTTTAAACTACTGGGGTCAAATTGACCCCAGAGGATAAAGGGTGTAATGTAAATCTGAGGATACCAGGAGGGTTAAATCATGTTCATGTGATGGAGCAGTTTGACAAAGTACGTTTTTCTAGTCTTCAGCATACCAGCTCCTCACAAAGCACATAGTGATGGCACATTCAATCAGTCCATCTAGCTATCCCTGTTGCCAAGCATCAATGTAATTAGTAAAACGCGTCACTGTTCACATAGTAAACCTCGCCTTGGCCACATCACACTCCACAGTGTTTCCATCAGTAAAGCTACTCCCAATCTATTCTTCTAAAATCATTGACGAGCAAAGCCCTGTAGTACCAGTTTGAGTGTTTAGGTGCCATGTCAAATAAATCATGTGCTTCGAACACACCCATCACAGAGCTCTATTGTGGTGTGATTTCAATAACCAAACCCACGTGCCATATAAACAGGCGTGTCATGTGTTCTACTGAGTCGTACACTGGAAAACAGGACAAAAACAGAGCTACCGCACAACATTAAAAAGTCTCTCATAAACAGATAAGATTATTTTATTTGAGTGTATAGGTGTGTGAGTGTGTGTGTATTTAAAGATTCATCTTTTTTTGTCATGTACAATAGCTACACAGTATAATGCTTTACCAGTGCAAGATACAAGGTATGATGTAATAGTTATGTGTGTGTGTGTGTGTGTGTGTGTGTGTGTGTGTGTGTGTGTGTGTGTGTGTGTGTGTGTGTGTGTGTGTGTGTGTGTGTGTGTGTGTGTGTGTGTGTGTGTGTGTGTGTTCACAACATTAACTTTGAGTCTGCCAACCCTCAGGAATGCAAGGCAATATTTCACAAATGCATCTGGTTCTTTTGTATGGTGTGTCACATAATCATTCAAGGTACACACACCAGCATCCTTGTATTTCATTTTAGAATACCATCAGCATGACAGGCCTTAATATGAGGAGTCCA